GATCATTTTTCCAAATTGAAAATATTTTCCAAAAATAACTTACTTAAATAATAATTTAACATTTCATTTTTGAGTAAAACTCTCCAAGTGGGAAAAGCGCACTAGACTCACAAGACAAAATGCAACTCAATAAGTTTTTAGCAATAAAATAACAAATTACAATAGGTTGGACCTATGTGTGTGTGATCTGTATCTCGCCCAATATAACATTTCCACTATAGTAAGTTAGTTAAAATGTAAAAATATAACAAAAAACAGACAACATAATAATAAAGAATATAGAAACATGAAAACAACAAATCACAAACCTATACATAGGTTAAAGCTAAAACTTGATTTTAGTTTCAATAATTTACAAAAGTTTGGTTTTGTAAAAATAACTATGGGTTTGTATTTTCAACTTTAAGTATTACTTATCAGTAAGGCCTGATATTATTGATAGTTTTTCATTACTAACCCATCAACATATTTCTTAAACAATTTCATTGACAAAAAAACATAACATTTATAATCGTAAAACCATTTGTGTACATTTGCTTTGATTTTAAATGACACCAAAATGGTGTTGAACAGATAAGTAATTGAATTCGAGGAAAATCCCAGAAAGCACAAGAGAAAATGGAACATACATGTTAAGTTAGATATAAATTTGGAGAATTCACCGGAAGTCTAGAATTGAAACTAAACTAAGAATATACATCACAGACACAATTCTACTACCTACATCACTACAAAAATAAGAAAGAAACAAGAAATTACTCGTGGAAATATTAATTTGGGCACTACGTCCAGAAAGGGAAAATCACTAGGATTGGTGAGCTAAATTACTTTCAACAATGTTTGAGATTGTTATGTTTGATGGGGTTGATTAGTGCTAAATTGATTATTTCACTCTTGAATTGCCAAGTGAGTCATAATAAAGAAACTCTGATTTTCAAAATGCATAGCTGAAATTTTAATTGATGTTTAACATTTACTTTTACTGATGCCACATTTTGCACCATAACCTTGAAAAATGTCTACCAACCCTTGATTGTTGACGTCCTTAGAGAACGCAGGTGTTTTAAACCATCCCTTTTTGGACGTAAAAGAAAAAAAAATCACAGCTGGTGTTTTAACAAAAATTAAAATATAACATTTATAAATCTTATATCTGATATCAACAAAACATCTATTGCACTGGATTGCAAAGCTATGTTTACAGTTAAATTTCTGGGAAAATTTCATTAGTATTAAACAAGTAACAAGGATAAATTTCAAGGGTTAAATAAAGCAAATCAAGTAAACAATTAAATGTTTTAAAGCTATATTAGGGCGGTGCTATATTTAACCCAACTTTTGTGCGATGGCCTCTCTGAGGGCAGAGATATTGAGTTGCGAGTTGTCCTGCGGTTTACCACACACCGCTAGCTATGGGGGCAGAAAGAACCCCACGGGGGGTGGGAACACGCAGTCCTTGGGCATGAAACAGTCGTGGACTGTTTTCATGTGGTTCTTCATCTTGTCCGGACGAGAGAACTCCTTGGAACACACAGGACAGGGGAACACTTTGCGCTGATGTCCCTCGTGGTACAGGAATGCGTGCCTTTGGAAGCTGTATTTGTTTTTGAACGTCTTGAGTATATCTGCCTTCTCACACTCCATACACTTGTAGACGCCCTCGGACACCGAGGCGTATCTGAAGAGGTTGAGGCCACGGACAGACATTTCTGTGAGTTGCTCGGCTGGGTCAGAGGAGGAGGTGGCGCGTCGGCGCACGCGGCGACGGGTAGGTGCGGGTCTGGGGGGCGCAGGGTACTCTTCACCCCCCTCAAGCGAGTTTTTTAGCACCTCTCGAACAAAGCTGTCTGTGTTGTTGTTGTCACTGTCGCCTTCTCCAGGGGTGGCTGCCGTGTCGACAAGCCCCTCCTCCTCTTCCGCGTTTTTTGGCATCAGTTCAGAGTGCGGGACCAATCTCAGCATTCCAACTTCTGCAACAAACGCCCATCATTACACTTCCTGGTGAACAGAAAAATTACACCTGCTGACTAAAGGTGTGCACTATTTCCATTGAGATTCGAGTAACAATGATAAACATCTTTACTGGGACCTTATGTACAAGCATTAACTATTGGATCAAAGGTACAAGTAATATCACACTATTATTGGGGTTGATATTTAAACTGGAGTCTGTATTTCACTACATTGCATCTGAGTGGTTTTGGAGAAAATACAACAAGTAGACTCCTTAAGTTTTTATCATTTTGTTATAACGTTATACGCCGGTGATATTTTTATACTTTTGACGAGGAAATTTCCCTAAACCATTGTCTTGTTACTATTAAAAAACATTTAAAAAAGAATGTTAAATAGCCAGTTAATGACTGGGTCCTTGATAGAATCGAACGAGTAACCTTCAGGTTTGAGAACAGGCTCTGTAACTACTAGGCTACCGGTAGAAGATATTTCTAAACAAAATGATATACTGTGTTATCTACCTTAGCCCTAACTTAGAAGCTTACTCCCTTTCATTTTTACGTAAGAAAAAAAGCCATGCACGTTTCTTTGTAATATTGTGTGGTGTAAAAACTGGCACAAGAGATAACGGCTTTCATTACAGCTTTTTTTGTCAATGCATATAATATAAAATCTAATAATAAACTTAAGAACCGCAAAATATCTAATTAAGGAAAGGCAGGATAAAAAATAGATTTTAAAAACTACACTGAGAGTTAAAAAAATGCTTAAGCCATATTAAATCCTTTGAAACCCAGTCATTATAAAAAAAATCTACATTAGAAGTATTATTGCCATTGAATTGTACTAACATTATAGTCCTCGCCACCCTAACTTGAGGCAGCCCAAGCCCGCACTAGACATACGGTGTGCGGCCTCAAGTTAGTGTGGCAAGGACTATAGCTGCTTCCTCATGAGCTTTTGAGCTACAGGCAAATTTATTTCTAAAAGCTGGTTAAAGGATTTAATATTTTTAAGCCTTAAAGTGTTCTAGTGACAAAAATATACAATAGGTGATGTGAAAATAAAACGTGAACAAACATACATCAACTAAAAATAAATCTTTATTTGTACACAACCAACAATACCAAACTAAGGTAACACAACTTACATATGATAATAATCCATAGAGCAGGCTGCAGAAACAAGTATCATTATATCAATAGAACATTACACCATTTATGTTAACAGTTTAAAGTACACACTTTTTAAAAATGTATTGCTAAATTAAAAATAATAATAGATTGTATTTATAACTAAACATCAGTAAGCCAAATTGATTGATAAAATAATATTCAATTAACATTTGAAAAAAAAACCATAGGAAAATACCATTTTGAATTAAAATAGTGAAACTTCAAAAATAACTAAACCAAACTGCATGTTATTGCTAGTAACAAAATTTAGCAGGGTTAAATAGACGTAAATTCTATCCTAGACACAATAGCTATTTGTGTGTATCAAGAGCTTAATACGTCATTGCCGCTTGGGAACTGTAGATGGCCGCACAACGCTTTAGCTGAGTGTGGCCATACATTTCAAGAGCAACAATGACTGTGCTAACTAACACAAACTTAATATTTTTCTTACCACCATAATTATTAACTTATCATGACACACAGATTAACTTTTTAGCCGTACATAAACTGGCAGATAGGTTATGTTATTTGTTTAAACGTGAGTGAGAATGAATGAAGCGGAAATGAGCTATTTTGTGTACTGTTTACAGGTGTGGCAATTTGAACTTCAATGAAGTGGTAGGAAATTATGTGTTTGCTATTGATAGCAATTACTATTTCAACAGCTGTTGTAGAGTTCTGACAAACTATAGTCTGTTCAAAAAATTTAGGCGGTTTAAGAGAAAGGTTTCCTGGGTCTCCCCTTCCAACTGCTTCATATTTATATATTAGCTGATCAGCTGTCAGCTGTTGTTTCAAAGTTAGGGTGAGGTGGGGGGATGTAATCTCTTTCCTTCTAACTGCCTAAATTATGTGAACGGAGTATATAGTACAAAACTGTTTAATCTGGTAAGCTGATTTCTTACTTCCTACTGAAAAGTAGACCCATACCTGCTCAAGATATTTTGCAATCACTATAATATCAAGTAGTTTTAAACATCAAATATATTTTTATGAACATTCTTACCTTACACATAGTTCAAAAATAAAACTAAAATGTATAAATAATAAATAAGTAATTTCTTCTAGAAGAGATGATTATTTTTCTTCTGGTCAACTTTTAAACAAAGAAACAATGTCAAAATCCGTTGCACTTTCTTTATTAACCTTATAGCTATGTATCATTTTGGTTATCAGTTAACAGTATTATAAAGTTGAATCACAATAATTCATCGATTTTCAACCTTTCCTGGAAAATATATTTATAGCTTATCAATCTGAATTTTCAGTATATTTGCTTCTCTAGGTTTCCTGATAAGGACAGATAACTTTTAAGAACTATCTGAGAAAGAGTCGATAAAGAACTATCTGATTAATGTCAGTGTTTTAGATGAAGTGTTGTTGGTAAACTATAGAATTAAAATTTTAAAAATAATTTCTGACATCCAGCCTGATAAGCACTACGAGAAAAGCAAAAAAAAAGCTTATGGTTAAGAAGAAAAAATTAATTAAAGACATGCATTTTGTGACTTGAAAAATAAAAACTTCATTAAAAAAAGTTAAACGTTCATTTTGATAAAAATCAAATAATCATAAAAAGAATTAACAAATATTTTAATGTTCTAAATCCGGTTTCAACCAATCCTGAAATATAGGTATTTAATTTCAAGCTTACATAAACAAATAAACTCATCTGTAAGAACCCGTTGTTTAATAATAACACCACTTCTCCTTATTTTATCACTGCGGTATTTTGTATATTTTTTGCATTATGTTGTACCATAAGTGGGCATGATTAAAACTTTTACACGTTTCAAAATTTTTCGCTACCAACCAAGGAGTAAGGATTTAGAGGGTGAAATAAAACATAAACATTTATAATAAGGATATATTAAGTATCACCATTATAACAAGACAAAACACAGTAAAAATAGTGAACGGTTCTCACGGTGAAATAAGGCACCTGCGATCACTGGTTACGCTGATATGAGTCGATGGGACAAGCAACATGGTAACATGGTTTGATTTATAACAAATTTACAAAATGGGTTTAACTGCTAACTATGTAGGTAACACAAGTAAACTAAATAATTACAAAACTTCATAGAAAAACTGTTTTTCCAGGGACATAAGCATCTTGATGAAATTAAAAACAACTGTTTCAACGGTGAATATAAAATAAATCTTACAATGGAATGAAACAAAAAACTGTATTGCTTGCCCACTCAGTTAATTTTCAACATACCAAATGTAATACTACAAAATCACTTTGTATTTGGCATTCTATTGGTAAAAAGTAACAATAATTTGGGTTATGACTAACATTGACTAACTAACCTAGCACACCGACGCAACAAACTATGACCACGTATTGCACAAACACTAAACCCCAACAATAAACAATAGAAATATGGCAAACAAGTATCACTACGTTGTGATTTGCACACAACTTGAACAGGTGGGTAAAACAATACACAAACTAAGGTAGTCTTATCAATTAAATGTGTTGTCAAACTTGTATCTAAAGGTCATAAATCAGTTGTCTGAATTATGAAATATAGGTGATTTCTGTTCCGTTTATTCTAAATGGACACAAAAACTAGTGAACTGACTAAGCTTAAATTTTACAAAAGGTTTTGAGGCAGAGCATTTGTATTTAATTATCGACTTGTCTTGGCATCAAAAATAAATACCAAAAACTAAATTTGCTCTATAAAAATTTCTTTGTTAGGATTTATAATAATTTTTTTCATGACTAGTACTAATCTCTTGCTCAGTTGAAATGGGGACGCCGCCTATGTGTTTATTTAAACCCAAATTTCAGTGAAGGATGAGAGAGTGTAGAATGGAGTGAGATTATCTGTAGCTTTGTTACTGACTAAGATCAGCTATTTCATTAGCTAGGACAATTTACTAAAAGCCCAATGATCAGATACAGCTGGGTCCAGTTCGGACCAGCAAAAAGCTACACACTTTTCTCAGGGTCGAACTTGCGACCTTTTGGACAAGAAATTGACAATATTGACAGATGATCGAATTAAGCTTAAGTTGAATTTTCTATAATCGATGCTGAACCGTATCTCTCTTCAGCGTAAAGCAAGGACTAACTAATAATGGCATGTAAAATAGCAATACATTAAAAAAGCTCAGACTGAATAATTTTTAAAATTACCCGATGATGACTGTTATTCAATAAAAACCCAAACAAGAATATTGAAATAACTAACCACAGCAAATCAATTTGAAAAGTTACAATTTAGTAAAGAAATAAACTGCATTCAAGATTGTGGTTTGCCAAAGGGAAGGGATGGTTCTAGCATAACAGAACAACATCCATTAGGCTTACTTTACTTTAACTTGCTAGAGCAAACATAACACTTTTCTTCTGTAGTGAAACACTTTTGTGAAGCTTGATTAACCTGTTGACCTGTTAATTTGAATGTTCTTAGATTTTACACAAACATTAAGTGGGAAATATTTTAATTTAAGTGTCTACTGTCTTCTCTAGTAATCAATTTGACGCATGACTGTGTGTGCATCTACAAGTGAATTAACATTAAATTGCTAGTTTTACATCAAGACAGATTAAGATCACTATTGGTTGGTTCAACACTCAACACAGCTGTTCTTGTTCATTAATTGGTTTAGATAAATTATGGTCCCAGCTAAAAGTCAACTGGTATCAGACGATAACAAAGCTGCACAAAAACAACACCCTTTAAAATACAAACAACATAGTATAAATATCTGCAATGACAATGACACACATCTAATAGAGAAGAACTACTTATAAAGCAAATTAGTTGCCACTAAATAAAGAGAAGTAATGTGCAAATCACAATCTAAATCTAAACATTGGTAACAAGAAAAGTTACACGCCCCAGACTAAATAAGCTAACAAAACTATATACAGGAAACTCAGAGGCTGAAGTGAGGTAAAATTTGCAGTTTTATCTTAAAGCTAAATAAAAATTAAATTAACGGATCATATTTTTAAAGTACATGGCTATCCAAATAAGGAAATCTTACATTTAATCAAGTCAATAAGTACTTTAGTATGGCATCCCGACTAGGCAATATTTGGTGCTAAGATCAGTTTAACTTCAAAAGGCATTCATGTCTTTGATTTTTATAAATTGGTGTTAAAAAACTGGCTCAAGGAGATTAAGTACAATGGTTTAAGTTAAAAATTCAAACAAAAGACAATTTATGAAAATATACCAGAAATGTATGATAATTGAGGAGTCAACATTCAAATTAAGTACTTATCAAACCTAAGTGTTGAAACTGGTTGGCTTAGCTGTGATTTAATCAATAAAAAATCTGTTAAAGGAACGGGAATCTTGTGTGGAATGTAGTAAAGAGAAAGCCACTACAACAAATAAAACATCAAAAATCCCAAAAAGCAATTACATGAAATTCCCTCTGTTTAGATCCCAACATTTACACATAACAAAGTTTTATAAACATCGATCATGTAGAATCTCGGATATCCTAGTTAAAAATATTTTCTATATTTCAGACATCACTGTCATTCTTTCTGTGGTGAAAAGAGTGTTAAGCTGAGCGCGCACTACGGCGGCACGGCACGGACGGGCGGGCGGCACGGCAATTTTTAAAAGTTAATAACATTGAATGTCACATGAGTGCGCCCACTACGGCGGTACGGCCGGCAACGGACGTTCGGCAGCTTCCGCCGTTTGTTAAAAAGTCCGGGAGACAGAACTCCAGGACATTTCCGAGCTGCCGTGACGCCCGTACCGACCGGGAGCACTGCACACCGACCGGGCGGGCGGCACGGGACATCCGCCATTCTCAACTGATCTCTGTCAAAGTAGCAGTGTTTTCGTGTGTTGTAAACATAGATGTTAGTAAGTTGATTTTTCTCGTTGAGAAAAACCCCAAACTGTACAACATGCGACATCCGGAATATTTTAATAACGTCCGGCGTGACAGTATATGGGCAGAAATATGATCTATTATGAAACAATCAGGTAAGCTTTACACATAATCCTTCTACAAGATCAGGAAACAAGGTGTGGAACTCTCCAAAACTTAGTCTTTTCCTGTTTATGTGGTGTATCTAAAATCTTTGCTTGCACCTTCTTGTCACCTCTTCCTCTGCTAAAATTAAACCTACTATCACCACTTTATCTACATCCATCTTTACTCACAAATTTTAGCTCGCAGACTGTCAACTGTCCTAAATTGCGGATGTGCGGATGTCCCGTCCCGTCCGTCCGTGCCGTGCCGCCCTAGTGCGCGCACCCCCTCTTAAAAATGCCGTCCGTGCCGTACCGCCCGTCCGTGCCGCCGTAGTGCGCGCGTAGCTCTAAAGAGTCAACGAATCAAAGAGTGTGTGGTATTTTCATCTTGAAACAAATTATAAAATTTCCCACCATCACAGACTAGAACATAAGCCCAGAACTGTTTTACATGTTACTCTTTACCTTTGTTTTTACCTACAAAGCATATACACACAAAAGATCCTTAGTTTGAAAACCAAAGCCAACACTTTTTCAGACAGGAGTAAAGGGGTTGAGTTGTAATGTAGGCTTAAAAAATTAGATAATTTAGACAAATTAGGTCTAATTAGGACAAATTTCAAATCAGGTCAAAATAGGATAAATTAGGAAAGTAGTTCATCTGCAACATGAACAGAATTTCCTAGTTGGATTTCCGAGATTCTACCATACTTGCAGAATTGTATAACAATATGCCACATATCACTCACGACATAGTAAAATATTATTTGGCACTTTATTTATAAAAAAGAGATCTAGCGATTAGTAACAACATGCTGAAGTCTTGGTGTTATATAGTTACAATTTTATATTAGTTATTACAGTAAAATAGTTTAATAAGCTACAAAGTATTCTGCCACGCAGACTTCATCTTTGGATTTGATTAACGAGACAATGGTTCAAGTTAACGGCTATAACTATTAGTTTGGCAAATCCTGACTAGTTATAAAATCTAAAACTAAACTATCAAACAAAATATAAAATCACTAACAGAAACAAATTTCTTTATTATCATTCCATTTTATCATTGACATGGGATACAAAAGTAGACATTCCATCTATATAGACAAGCTGCAACAAGTTTTTTTTTTTTAAACATAGTTGAACGTAGTTACAGTATAGTAGTACATAGTACAGTAGTTACAGATAGAGTGTGTTATTTCCTCTTTTTTATATAGTGATAGTTGACAAGGACATAAGGGTATGTTATTTACAATATTCACCATTTTGGCATGATTAAAACAATAGTTAAACTACCAAACTTTTTTGGTAGCTCAATTCAAATACTTTCTTGTTTTAAAACTTGCTAAAAATATAACAAAGAAATGGAAAGTCTACTTCAAGGCAATATATCCTATAGTCAATGATTTTACATAAGCTGCAACTTAAAAATATGTAAAACTTTGGGAAAATATAACAAATATATATAAATAAACAATTATGCTATCAAATAGCTCCAATAGATTGAACAGGCTGTATAAAATATTTATTAATTGATCAACACTTTATGTTATAGACTGATTAAATATATTTATGTATAACAAAATTTATCCAAGGCAGAAGGAATAATGTTTTTCTGTTGCAAATCACAAGTTTGCATCAGATTCCAAAGGCACTGAATAAAGCTACATTAGTGATTTAACAATTAAATGAATCATGAAAATGTAAATTTATTAAAAATGTAACAAGTAACAACATTTCATAAATATTTTCCCCATATATATATTAACACTATATAAAATAATAGGGTAACAAGTATTTAACATTTTGATTTGGTTCAACTTTGTATATCGGTAGTGTAACATTCTAGTATAGAACTTTAAAAATATGATTTAGGCTAATTTCATTTATAAAAGACTTACAAAACAGCTGCCCATTTGACTAGGTAAACAATATGGCTTCGTTGTTGGTACTGGGAAGATCAAATATCTTTCACAAAGTAAAATAGTTTTAACTTAGTATATAAAGCTATATACATTTCATGTATCCAGATCTAGGACTGATTTCTTATACTGTTAACAGTGCTTCTTCATGCTTGATATGACATGTTATTTTAAACAACTTGCAGGCCTTTTATATAGGTAACTAATGTCTGGTAATATTTTTCAGGAAGCATGTTTGTTTATAAGTACGAAGCAGATAGAGGGTTAGCTCAGTTCGGGCAAGAGTACTTAAAAGTTCTCATTACTTTTCAATAGAGAAAAAGTCTGATTAGACAGGTAATTGTTATCTCGAATGACCTATAACAATCTGAAAATATGTTGGACAGGTAATATTTTAATTGGCAGAGCTATCACAATTCAGACAGTTCATAGACGGCTTTTAACACAACCTAGCAGCAATTAGACAAGTTAGGCACGTACAGTTTTGATATGATAAAGGATTCTCTCAATTAAACATTAACCATCTGAAATATACATTTTGCATCTCAAAACTCTTGTTCCCAAAGTATTAACCCCGTTATCAAAGTATTAGGAAGGCACAGTGTAAGGCAAGCTGTAGCATCACCCAATAACATGTTTATTTATTTACTTTTGAGTAAATATTTAACTGCATATTAGGCCTGCTAAAAAAAGTAGACAAATTTTCTTGCCTTCCTAGAAAGACTACCACAGTGTAGACTACCATTTATTGTAGAACTTATTGGGTATGGTCTTCTGGCGATGACCATGTCAAAAACTTCATGAAAAACTATTTATCACCGACATTCCGGTCTTGATGCAGAGTGCCCCCTCAAGGTGATTTGATTTGATTTCCGCTCAGTTGACGAATCCATTTGTCCTTAGGATGACACTCTGCACCGAGGCAAAACGAGTGTGAAGAATAGTGTTTTGTAGTTTGACACGGTCATTGCCAGAAGACACACGACACGTTCTACACTTTATTTTGTGTTAAAATATGAAACATAACAGAGTTCTTTTGTATAAAGAGACTAATACCAAACGTTTTTGTAAGGTTTATAAAGATCTTAAGAAGTAATACTATAGTAAACTGTCTTCAAACGAAGTGATAGTGTTGAAGGCTTCTGTAAAAGTGTACATTTCAAAATATTACAGTTTTGAAATTTTAGTACTGCCAAAAAAGCTATTTATGGATGCCTTTAATTTTTTTTCAACAATATAAAGATTTCTCATGCACACGCCACAAAATAAGGTTTAAGGTCCCACGATATCATTTCAGGCTAAAATAAAATGTTTACTTATATTTTAGCCCCTTAATTTCTTAGCCAGTATAGGACATAGCAGAGGAGTTTTGAGATACAAAACATCCATCAGATGGTGGTGCTATGAGCCTCAGAGAGGAGGGAAGGCCTCGGGAGGAGGGTCGGGGATTGGTTGTAGAGTTCCTCGGTGTAGAGTGAGACGATGGACCTGCTTAGTGTGAGTCATCATGTTGTCTTTACGAGTGAACAGTTTGAAGCAGACGGGACAAGGTATCTCCGGCTTCATGCCATGGTGAGTGGAGAGGAAGTGGCGACAGAAGTTGCTGATGTGTGTGTAAGTCTTGCCGCACACATTGCATCTGTAGGCGTTGTCCGCTTCATGCGTGCAGTATCGCCTCACTGAGGCCTTGTCTATAGGCTTCCCCGGAGAGGGGGTCGGCGTATTGGCAGCTACGGCCATCATAGACTTAAACGAGTCAAACTCGTATTGAGATATGTCTTCATCCAACAGCTCGTCTGTTTCACTAAATTCCTTCTTCTTCTTACTCTTGTTGTTGTCCTCTAATGATGACGCGGGAGAGCAGGCTATCATATCCTCATAATAATCCTCTGGGTCTGACGGGAATGGTTGTAACGGTTCTTCTCTGTCATTCTTTTTTGTCAGCTCCAGTTCTGAAAGACGGAGATTCTTTATAAAATAGTTGAAGTAACAATGGTAAAGTTGCCTAATAAGATTGGAATGTGCACCCAAAACAACTTTATTTGTACACTAATAGATTATAATTTTTTCTCCCAAAACACCACTTCCTACTTTCTTGAGGTACAAACAATACAAAACCCCGCTATGAACTCCAAAAACTACCTTTAACCCCCACACAATTCATCGACACAGAACAAAATGCAACCAAAGTTCCCCTAACAGTAATAAGAAACAAAAAGATGGGGCACATTCCTCTAATTAAAAAGTCTGAGATAGGGTAACTTACCTTTATAATCCCAGAACTCTTCATTCTTCTGTGTGAGAAACTTTCAAATTCTAATGAACAACTGGGAGAACAATTCAACTAACAAATCAGATGAAGTACCTTTCTCTTTAACAATCAAGTGCTAACCACCACCTAGTAACTGGGAGTCCTTTTAATAGATTTTTTTATCTTGAAGTAGTAGAATTTCAGATAAAATTTTTGTTATTAATAGCTACTAAAGTTTCAATGTTTTTACCAACACCAAAGTTAATGACTAGTTCTATACAATTTAAACTTTCAATTAAACACATCTTGTATAATGGAACAATGTACTACATCTTTGCCAAATAAGTATAAGCCTTCAGAGAGGAGATAAATTTTGAAACAAGATTTGTTGTAAAGAAAACAGAATCAAAACTACCATCAGCTCTTAAATCACCTTGAAATGCATCGAAAATTATTTTGAAATGTTTGCAAAGTTGAGTTCCACAAAATTAGGATAAACCCAGTTTAATATTGTTCAACTTGCGAATCATTCGCTCACCATAACAATCAGACTACAAAAATATCAAATACTTAAAACATGCTTTAAACTTGTATAAAAAATCAACTAAAAAGGACATTGACAGTATTTTTTTAGAAAAAACACATCTAATTTTACTTTAAGGAAATCAATAATTATAAAATGTAAAAATTCAAGGTGGGAATAGAAAAAAAACCTAGACACGGACACATAACGGAACTGTCAAAACAGGAGGGAAATAAATACTACAAGAGGAAGGTGACCCATCTGTTTGTTATCTTACTGTTGACATATTGAACACAAAACACAAAAACACACACCAACACAAAAATTGTACACAGCGGATCTCAAACTAGGTCACCGATACTCTGTTTGAGAACCACTGACTAAATTCAAAGTGATTATTTAAATTTAGTTGGAATTGAATTCATCTCGGCTCAAAATCTAAAAATGCTTATCGCTGTGCATTTAGAAAAGTTCTTTTGTGAATACTGAAAGTTAACACTAATTTTAGTTCAAGGTATTTTACTACGAGTGATGAATTCACCACTTAATAGTGAACATGCAACTTACCAGGACTAAAGGGATCACCACTGTCGCCTTCTTGGGAATTATTGCCTTTGAACGATGAATCTAAAACAAATTACATTTATAACAATCTGTGTGCAAAAGCAGATAAGATACTTTATATAGGTTTAACAGCAGGCTTACCTTTTTGACGATTACAAAAACATAGAATTTTTTATGTAATAGCTCACTTCTTCAGTGAGTCTACTTTCTTACTTTCTCAGAGAGAAAAACTCCTAGGTTTTGAATGTTCAAAAATCCCAAGGCTTTTCTCAGGATTTAACCATCAATCTTTTGATGGTAGGTGAGTGTACTAAATCTACTCAGCTACCAAGCCAAATTACAATGTCACCACACAAGGTCTACAGGAGCCTGAATGAAACTTACTCCCTCTTATCCCGACACCTTTTAACTGGACATCGGTTTAACGGGACTGTACTCGGTGGAAATGACATCTCTTTAACCGGACAATCTTTATCAGCACATCGGTTTAACCGGACTAGAACGGCAGGAAGTTTGGGCAGTACTGAAACAACTGTTCTCATGGGAAAGATTTGAGACAGTGATCACTTGTCTAAATACAATGCTCTCCAAAAATTTAAGTCGAATATCACAGTGAACGGTCCGTTTTAACGAGTTTTTTGGGGATGTTGGTTTAACCGGAAAAACTGTTATCCGGACTGGCTTCGGTCCCGAGGAGTCCGGATAAGAGGGAGTCCACTGTATAGTTTTGTTAAAGGAAAAGGCTCTAGGCCAAGACTTTCATTTGTATATTGAGGGCATAGCAGCTGGCTTACCTTGGAAGTATTGGTATCCAATAGAATCCATATAAAAACACAAAAATTTGTACCCTGGGGGAATTTTCCAAGCGTAGAAAATGTCGGTTGGTAACAGCCATGATATCAAACACTAGATGAAAACTCTTTGTTACACTTGAAAAAGTTCTCCAGGGAACGAACAACGAAAAATTGTTTTATGTGTCTTCTCTGTCTTTAGCCTACTTGTACTTCTAAGGTAAGCTAGCTATCCCTTCAATCAAATTTGAGAGTAAGTCTAGACTTTACCAACCAAAATTTGATCAAGGACAACACAAGTTAAGCCTAACTATCACAATAGTATGATACTGACTACACATACCTTGAGTGGAAGGTCCTGGTGTGGGTTCTTGTTTGATGGGCTTCTCGTCAATGTCCGGAGTGTCATCTATGTCCATGTCAGGGGGCCGTGTGTCGGAGTCCTCGGTGTCTAGGGGATGGTGGGAGGAGTCATCGTTATGTAAAGGCGTGTGTCCAGCACCTCCTCCGTCACTGTCTCCCATGTTCACCTCCAGTAGGTCTGGTGGTCCCATACCTGATAATAAGATTAACATTGGAATTTTAAATTTATAGTTTTTTTTTTATCCTCGCCATATTTATTAGATGTACAACCATCCTTCAACACACTAAATTATTTGATTTTTGAACTCTAAAATATGGTTTGGAAAGAAACTGTGACATCATATATTTTGAGGGTCAATAATGGGAAAACCCAATTTGTAATTTGTTGGCCTACTCTTTAAAACCCCAAACCTTGTTCCCATAATCCAAAATGCTGGTTTGAAATAAACGTAAGTTTATATATTAATAAAATTTTTTTCAAATTCGGATTATATTTTACTTGTTTCATCGTGCTAACTTATGTTTGAATTTGGACAACATTGTATGGTGTTTTAGACATATGGGGACATCAAAATGAAAAGTATTTACTTTTTTACCATTTTAAAATAGTCCTGGATCTAGATCTTACCATGAGACCTACGGTAAACACGAATTCCCTAAGAAATGCTTTAAATCTGCTAGAAATCCAGTAGTGCCACAACTCAAACTACTTCATCACTAGTTTATGAGAGTGCATTAATACTCAGTGACTTAAAAATACATACCAGGAGACTCAGGCCTGCTTGGGTGCAACAGCCGCATGTCAGGTGTGTCCGTGTCATCACTAGGGCCAGGACCATTACTGCTGCCGCTCAGCTTGCGTGGTCGACCTCTCTTGCGCTTGGGTGCCGTGAGCGCCGAGCCCAGCAGTGGCGCCGTGTGACCGTGAGGAGACGGCGTCAACACCCGCTTGTGACCCAGTGCACCAGGGTGTATCCGGTGCAAGCTGGGGGGTGGAGGAGCTACGGGCGTGGATGATAACAGGGAAGACGCTATGGAGGGAAGATCACATCTACAATCGACACAAGTGTTGTGATTACGGCTTGAAACAATTAGTGGTACACTGCAATTACTTTGTAAACAAAGTATTAATTGCTAGACATGAGACTCAGTTGCAACATTTAGTATATAGAAGATATCAATCACTTCTCAAACAATACAAATCATTTTATGATAGACAGTTTCATTAGGTGAAAATATTTTTAATAACCATAGAAAAAAAAACAATTAGAATAAAACACATTTAACCTCTTGACACCTAATTCATCCAAGGCTTTTAGTTAGCCTAATATCTAAACCACTGATTTTTGTCTTACGATGAACAGTCATACCACTAAGAAGGAACACTCAATCAATCTACTTGATTATCTTCAGGTAGGGACAGAAAACACAGAGGGGTTGGTTAACCAAAAATCAAATAAGCAAAACTAGGAATATGTCGATTCTTGATACCGATGCACCAATGTCCAAGAATTGATGGTATCAGGAGTCGATGCCGATATTGATAGCCAGCATGACTGCGTGGATCGCATGATCGAAAAATGCACGCTATTGTCATGATCGCTGAAGACAGGGCAGATGTTCAGGATTTCGCATCAATCGCGGAAGACGGGTGATCGTGAGAGATGTTCATTATCTTACCGCCAACGCATAAAAATGTTCTCGCGACCGAGGAAAAAGTTTAAGATATTTAAATGATCACGGAAGACGATGAAGATGTCTTTACAACCTTGGGAGGTGATCTTGATATATAACGAGCTAGGCTTGATGAAAAATGTCAGGCTAGCAAACCTCTAGTTATAAAATTTTAATTGTTTATATTTTTTTGTAAAATATTAATTTACCTTTGATTTGGTGTTTATTTCAATGTATTTAGAAATGTTTAAATTTTAATTTGCTATTATACAAGGCCGCTTTTTTTCTTTACTTCAAAAACACACCGTTATACCAAAATTAATTTTTATAAGGGCACATATACAGGTGATGGTGTAGTTTATCAAACTCTACTGTACCGGTACCTAACTTGTAGCACAGACCTACATTTTAGTTTTAACGCATTGTTTTAACAACTACATTTTAGACTAACACATTTTCACAAACTGTAAATATTTGAACAACCGCACAAATCTTATTTACTAGCAGACAGATCACATATGCCTCCTTACCTTTCTTCATTGACCTCAGTAAGGCCCTTGATCCTGAGGGACTCGGCCACCTTGAGGAATGCCGTGAGTCTCTCCTGATCCACCGACACTTCTCCTCGGTACATGAAGTCCAGCAGGGAGCGCATGTCAGCGTACGGCACATCCTTCAATATGACTATAGGATGTCTGTCCGGGTGACCGACAAATAGTGACTGCAAACACACAGTGATCATGTTACACATTTGTATATTAAATTGATAACCAAAAACAGAATTAACCATAATGATCTAGTAAAATTGAATGCAAACCACATGTTTTAAAATCGTGGAGTTAGTAAGCATCAATATCCCTATAAATTGAACTAATCGGGATAAAAGTTAGCAAAAGATATTGTTTCAAACAGAGTGTATTCTGATTAAAAGTCCACACAATAATTGGTATAGTTATACGTGTTTTAAAATATTACCTGCTTTCAAAACTTTCATCAGATGACATTTCAGGGTTTCAAAACACTATTTTGAAAACCTGAATTAACATTCTGATACATGTTTCTCTTAACACAAAAAAATAGTTTTTTTAACAATTTTCACAGTTTAAATCCTAAACAAAGACCCTTACATATAATATGTAAAGTAAATTCTAAAAAATAATGGTTTTAATGTGGTATTTTTAGAAACATCGCCAGGCTATTAATGTATAAAAACTAATAAAGAAACTGATACCTCTTTTAGAGCTAACAATGTAAAGCTTACCAGTAGCCTACGATAAAGTTAACAGCTGTTTTTGCAGCAAACACCTGTTAAAACTTAACAGCTGTGATATCACAGGTATTACTATTAACATGCCTACATCAGCAATACTACTATATCTTGAATTTACACGAATATTTTTAAAATATTACTGGCTGGGTATGAAAAACAGCGGCAACAGAAAACATATCATCAATTTCAACCCATGTCCTAATTAGGTTAAAATACCTTGTGATTCAGAAGAAACGTACAACAGTGAGGAGTTAGTGGCGATCAACGATATGGGTAAGGTACTGATCTAATTAAGACCCTCGATTAAATAAAAAAAATCATCAGTAAAAATGCTTATTGTAAAAAATCCAACTAAATGTTTAAGTAACTTATGGGAAGGCTTGAAGAATGGTATTGAAATAAAAATCCCATGTTATACAATTTTGTTTACAAAGCTCATTTATTTTCTAACAGGGACCGGGGAAAAAATGTTTTTCTGAGCTTCTGACTAGGCACATCATAATCAGCAATTCAAGCATTAAAATAGAGCTCAGAGCTTCTTATGTGATGATTGTTACGCATCCCCCCAAACATTTACTTAATCGTTTAGTTTGTCAAATAAATTTTACAAAACGATCCCACAAGTTATGAACCAAATCAACTTTGGTCGGCAAGGATGGAACGTAATGATAAATTAAACATTTTACCTGGAAATAAGGACTACAGGCGGAGAGGACCATTTTGTGGGCTCTGAGGAACTGTCCTTCCACTGCCAGGGTGACGTCCACGAACGCCTCATCATGTAACAGCTGATCAAACACTGACAACAGGTTGGACTGGTGGTTGTTCCACCGCAGGCAGAACCTCTGGGACGTCGTCATCTTGCACTCTTTTATCTGTCATTCAACCTGCCAGAAAAACACATTCAATAAACAACTCAATTCCACACAAAAAAAGTATTCCTGAAATCATTTCTGGCTATAACAAGGTCTTTAAAAACAGATCGATTGAATTTATTCCAAATGGATGGGCTTCTACTGTCACTCGCTACGTCAATTGTGCACAAGTCAAGTCACCCTGAAGAGGGCTCTCTACTAAAAGGCAAAAACGTTGGTGTAGGATCAAGTGTTTCACCATTTTGACTCAGTTGCGTTTAGAATTGAATCTAAAATTCAATTTTTGCTATCAGATCGCTCTTTTTGTAGCCTAGCACCGGTATTATTATAGGGGTGTTATATAACCAGTTATTCTTTAAACAGTATTGCACAATTATCCCTCCATCACGGAGTTTTCCTCCAGGCGCATTTGTTTTGTATAGAAAATATGTGATATCGCCAGCCGGCTTTAGGAGTAACAGTACCTCATGTGCATCTTTCTACGATCTGAAAGATTGAACATTATTTTTATCTCACAACTCCCACACAAAACCCCTATCAATCAGTTGAAGCGCGATGAGTCGCATAGCAGGGTGAGTCACCAATGGTATTCTTGTTTTTGTTTGCTATATATTTTTTTAAATATGTAAAGTAAGATTTTTTTTTATTTCGTGTGTACAGTTTTATGATTATACATGGTTTTAAGGTAGGCCTATACAAAACTTTTCCAATGTTTCAACACCCGGAAAAAAACGCTTTGTTTTGTGTTGTTAAGTTGTGAGAACTAATTGGCATAAAATAAAATTGTCAATGGGCCACACATATTTACTTTTAATAGTGTTCAAGACGATAATACAAACTGGATGGTCTGATAAATACGCTGATTTACTTTCATAATGTTAAGGTTACAGGGGACAGTCAAAGGCAAGGGAAGTATAGTAAAAATCAGGGTCCCAACCACTGAACAGTGTCTAAAAAGTCACGAAATAAACAAGGGGAGTAAACAAAGTGTATCTAACTCTGACAGGTCTCTAGATATGTCAGTGGAAGAGTTATTAGTGTTGGTGGGGTAGAGGCAGAGAGGGAGGGGAGGGGAGGGGGGGCAACAAAGACAGTCAAGGGTGTTGAACTCCCCAACAGAACCGGTTGTTGTGAGGAGTCAATGACCTTTCCACCCCCCCTGGATCTTCTACCCCAGACACTGTCAACACTGATCATAACCTATCTCAATAGCATACCAAGATCTATAATAACGATGGTTATAAGCACAATAGTTGTATGTCCATTTTGGTAAACTTTCGGAAACCGCAAAAACAAAGTTTGTATTTTGGGGGAAACTTAAACTAAAACTGTTAAATGTTTGAATTGAATACATTTTATTGGCCACATTTATTAAAAATGCATCTACATAAATAGTTTTATCTTTATTCAAGCCACATTTTTACAAATAATTTGTAAATCAAACCATGTTGGACATACTATATGTGTGCACTTCTGAACGCGCAGATTTATGGACATGCTACGAGTGTGCAATACAAAAACTGCCCCTCTAGATGATTTTAGTAAGGAATGAAAAATTTAAACAACTGTTATCATGGGCACCCCCTGGCTAAAAAAATAAGAATTAAATTTAATACACAAAATATGGGTTTTCTCATCCTCGCATAATAATGGCTGACAAATTAACTATAGAAGAAATGTGAGACTGATTGATAGCCTACACATCTTCACTAAGGAGGTAAGTTGATTGATTATTTTTTTCTAACATCCAGCTAATCATATAGTAAAAATCACACAGTATCAACTAAGCCTATTACATACCAATAGCCTAAGGTTCTGTTTTCATGTAAACATATCATGAACAAGCTATTTACTTCAATTAATTAAAAGTATGTGGCATGAGAATATTGGGAGTATTTTATTTTTAAGAGCCAAACATGTTAAACATCTTTGCACATAGCAGAAAACCCCTTAATAGTACCAGTAATTTACGAGTTCAGATTTTAACAAATGAGCATAAAGAGGAAGGAGAATGTAATGCACTAATTTATTGAAATAAGAAAGATAAAAATGAAATTAAGATAAATTTCAAACCAACAGATAGCTGGTATACATGGCCATGTGCATTGTTGATTGAATTACAAACTTAAGCTACCGTACATACTCGACTAAGTGATTGTTAATTTCCAGATCTTTCAAATATTCATTTATCAAAGCTAATTGCACAATTACACTGATTCAAAATTGTTTTCATAGTTGGATTCAGTACCAGCTTATTGATTATGTTCTAAAAAGTTAACTGAATTTTATTGGTCGGTAAATTTTTAAAGCAAGGATTACTTACACATCTATAATAATTTTGATGATCACTAAAGAGTAACGAACTCTAGTATTTTTTAAGGCTCAATAAATTCTAGAATATGAACAGAACAGCAAGAATAAACCCTGTTGTTTGATGCTGTCAAATTACCAATAGACTCAAGATACCCAGTGTATTTAGTATGAGTTGGGGATGCAGCTAAGGTGTGTTTAAACCCACATAGGAGTGGAGATTAGTGTGGGATAAATGAGATGCCATATTTTACTGAGTAAGATCAGCTGTTTATCAAGTCAGAAATATGAAGTAACAGCCTTAAGCCTCATTTACACGAACCCAGTAGAACGACAGGTTACAGGGTTAGGTTACTTGCCTCTAATGTATTTCAAGTTAACTGTTGAGGCAAGTAACCTGCCACCAATTGCCCTCATGTAAACGCGCCTTAAGTGATCCTTGAATAATCTAAGTTAGGTACAGTTTCAATTGAACAATAAGTTTAGGCTACTGACTTTTCAGGATTGAACCTTCCGATTGTTAGGTGGGCACTAGACACACAAACTAGAGAAAAACCATAATTAGCCTGTCTAACCTTTTTTTGTAGTTTTGCTAAAAGCTCTCTTAAGATATTTAACCTAATTTAAAATAATGCAATTATTGTTTAAGTTGACCATATTATCATAGAACTCACAGTGGTTCTATATACTGTATTTCACAAGGTTATTTTAAGTTAAGTTTATTAATTTTAAATTAATTTAATTAAAATTATTGTTTATAAGTTAAACGCATAGGCCAGATAGATCCCTTTTAACTGACAAGTAAATTTAATCTGACATTTTTTAACTTAATGTTTGAAATAGAATGTCGTGCTTGTTTGTTCCTTTTGGTAAGACGATCTGAGTGGGAATGTCGAAGAAGTAATGAACATGTAACAGAACCATTGCCTGAGACCGTGTTTACATACTAATTACTTAAGTAACCTTGAATTTATGACAGACAGTCCCAAAGGTTTCAAACAACTGACAATCAACCATACAGTACATGGAACAAATATAGGACAATGTCTCTCGACAAATAGCGCTTAACGACTTACAACCTGATTGTAAAGTGTCTGCTTCCTGAATTTCACTTTTTATTAAAAATAGAGGAAGAAAAAGTAATTTTACGTATAAATCTGCCAGATATAACTTATGTAGGTACGGTATTTTGGAACACAGGACTAAGCTTAAGTTAACTAAGAAATGTAGGTTTAAGAAATAAAGTACCTAACTTAGACCTGTAATTTATCTCTAATAGGCTAAGCAAACAAGAGTTCAACATATTTTACTGAATGCTGGAGACAATACAGAAGAAAACATAGGCCAATGATTCTGAGACTCTCTCCAAAAGATTCTAGTGTACCAGTAGACGTAAAAAAATGAAAAATCGTACCCTAAAATTTAGGTCTAATTAAGTTTAAATGTTAAACCCATTTTAAAATTAAAATTCTTAAGGTTAACACATTCGATGCGGCGGGTCCACCGGTGGACCCCGCGCGTCTCAGCTGAGGAGCGGGGGGTCCACGGGTGGGGGAGCGCGCCATGTCATGTTTATTGTTTCAATGTGAGCTCAGCCATTGTCGGGGAACGTTGTAATCTTTACCAGCCTGTAGCTTATAATGCGAGCTTTATTCTGGTGTAGGTTGGTACAAAAATTGCCCGTAAAATCCCGCCTGGCAATGCTTTTGTCCCGTTTTCGGGGATTTTCTCAGTTCGAGCCGTATTACAAAGACTCTGGTTATTGATCCAGGCAGTGCTGCTACCTTTGGGTGTTTCAGTGAACTACGTCCACTTTCGGAGTAACGCAGAACAATCACCACTGCTCTTTTGTGATTCGTCTTACTGAGATATTTCAATACCAATAGCGATCGCTGATTCAGTTAGCGCGTCGGGGCTCCGCCCGGGCCTCGCCGCCATTGGCGAGCGCCTGTTTAAAGGTTTCAGCAGCGAATGTGTTAATTTTATTTTGTTACTTTATTTTTTTATTCCAATAGGTAGCCTAACCCATTAAACATACATAACTTAAGTTACCAATTTAAAATCAATCAGTCTGCACTTAACTTATAGGCCTAAGTATTAACTTAATAACTTGGTTCTAGAAACTTATTTAAGTTGTTTTATTTTACAAGCCTATCTCATAAGTTAATTAAGCAACATGGTTCGTCTAAACTAACACAGTTAAGAAGTTAAATACTTAGCCTACTAAACTTAGTAACTTAAGTAACTTAACAGTAAATTGGCCTCTCTGTACAAAGTATGAAGTACCAGTACGGTAAGTTAAGTTACCGGAAGTTTAACTTATAGTCCAAAATCAAAGTTAGGCCTACCTCTATTAATATTACCAACATATTAATAGGTAGGCCTAATTAAAAGATTCCTAGTCCTGCTAATAAAAAACTGCAAAACATGGCTAACACCTATCTTAAACTTAGTTCATAGGCCTAGATAAATTTCAGTTAAGCGTAGGTTTAAGTATATTTAATTACGTGTTTAAGTAACTTTAAGTTATATCCAAGTAACAACATTAAGTTAAATTGTTACCTACAAATTGAGCTATGACAAATCTATGTTGCGCTAAGTTAAGTTAAATGTAGCCTATAGTAATATCAAATGTTATCTGCACAAAGAAAACTTAACTGACCTAACTTTTAAAAACTACTTTCTTACGTTGACTTAAGTAATCTCGAACAAAACTAAGTTAAGGTTATAACTTTACTTAGGGCAAAGATTCTTAAGAAACAACTCAAGTTAAGTTAGCTAAATGTTATTGACTTATAGCCAGCTTTTTATACAAGAAATAACTTAAGTTAAGCTTAGTCTAATTTGTTCGCTGTCTACAAAAATAGACCATGACAGAAAAACCGATCCACAAATTCTTAGGCATTTTCTCGAAAACTGAATCTTTCTATGGATAAGTTAGGTAAATCCATCAGCCTAGCGTATTCCAGGCTACGTTTTAACTTATAACTTAAGCTATTACTGATAGGCTAACGATAACTTAACTTAAGTTTACCTGAAGTCACACCAACTTAACTTAGCCTGACTATCTTACAGTAACTTAAGCAATGTTTAAATTGGGTACAGTTTCTTAACTGGGCTATGCTAATATTGATTTCAAAAGAAACTATCGATTCGATTAATAAACCTTCATGCGATTTGTTCACTATCAGCAAGTTTGGTTGGTTAAGTTAGGTTAGGTTATGATAGTTTAATTTTATAATAGATATATTTAACCCTAAAAGTGTCCATAGTAATGGTATTAATGTCCGCCCATTTATTGCGCAATTGCAGGGTTTTATTAAAACGTATCTTAGAAACTTAAAAACCCAATGTAAAGTATACTGTTTTATATATAATTTTGTTTGGGAAATTACGGGCTTCAATGTAATATATTAAGTTAAACATTACAAAAAAAATTTCAACAATTATTGTGGAGTTAACATTTCTAGAAAATTATAAAATAAATGAAAAAAATTTATGTCTGCGCTCAATAAATGTTTACTTATAATTTATAAGTCTACAAATAATTTAAAATAGCCACTTTGTTCTAAATTTTATAAGGATTACAAAAATATAATTGTAATATAAGGATTTGCAAATAAATGAGTTATGGGTGAAAATCAGATTTCGTACATTTAGCTAACCATACCTAGCTACGAATCTGGCAGATAGGCTATTTTACATCAATATCACTACCCACTTCTTCAGGATCATCAACCAGCCCTTCAAAATCACTTAAATCTTCTTATAACGCACCACGTATAGCCTATCACTACTTTTTATTTTTAACACTAAAACGTAATAAAACACATCAGTCATCGGTGCGAGGTTAACCAAGTTGTTTACAAATACGCACGTCAGCTGTCTGCTACAATTTTTTCGGAACTAAAATGAAAAGCGTCTAGAAACAGACATCAGGAGAAAGCTTAGAATCTGCCGAAAACAACGATACCAATCTCGATCCAGTTCAATCTGATTCATTCAGTTCCAGAGCCTTTGCCGTAAACAATGTTTGTGTGTCGCAAAAGCGACGCATAACACCACGGCGGGTGTGTTGTACGTCAATTACGTGACGCTGAACACTCGGAGGGTTAAAAATATTGATTATTAATCAATATTATCAATTCTATAGTTTCAATCGATATTAGCATCTAGCCCAGTTAAGAAACTGTACCCTTTAAGTTAGGACTATGTAGCCTACTTAAGTTAAAAGGCTAAGGTAACAACTTGCAAATTTCAATCTGACACTGGCTAAGATCAGGCTAGTAGGCTAACTTATACCCAAAGTAAATTAGTTAGCTTTTTTTACGAGATTATTAACATAACTTAGCTCTTTAACTTCTAGGGCCTAACACACCATAATTTTCAGAATTTGGTTAGGGTAACGTTTTGAAGTAAATTATTCATTAAGATTAAATTTGGGCTAAGTTTAGTTAAGTTATTGTAATGTTTACAATTTAGCCTAGGCTAGTTTACCCTAGGTCTAAGTAGGTGGCCTAACTTATTATAGATCAAATTCCAATAAGGCTTACTACGATCATAACCTAAAAATGTATTGTTGATAACTAAAGACAGCTAACTTAGGTGGTGTTGATAAGAATGATTAAAATCCACCATTTTTAATCTTACAGGTGGTGTTAAAAATCGTGACCTCGAAATCTAAAATTATATTTAAAGCTAGACCTACCCAATAGATTTCAATAAAACATTGCATAAAAACAAGAATTGACAAAATGTCATTTATATATTAAAAATAAACAGAGAATACTTACCCCCTATATGTATTTGAAATGACACATTACACATTAACCAAAACTACAAAAAACGCCCAGCCCTTCCGCCATGTTGCACAGGCATAACCAAACCAACCATTTGCCCCCCACCCTACTACTCCCTCCTTGATTTACTCAACCCTTTTTTCCGCCGATCGAATTTCATTAAATCACTCAACTGATAATGAAAAGTAAGAAACCTAACCTAAAAATACATAAAAATGCACGGCTAATTTTAATTTTCAAATATTTAACCTTAGATTGGTTACACTATATAGTTATTGCAATGGGGGAATAATATCGATTTTATTGGGGGATTGTGAGTGGTGTCGACGACCCTACTGCGTATTTCTAACACCTAAGTGTAAATTAGGTTTCACAAATACAAACACACTTGATGCACAACATTCACTAAATTTAAACACGAACAAAAAGCACACTTCAAACACAAAACTCAAAATTACCTTTGCATCGTAGACTAGGTTTTATGAAGAGGGATGAAATCCGTAAAGGATCGAAATATCCTCTACTCCCGTTCAAGACGCCATGTCAGCAAGACAGCCTGCTCCCCCTCCCCTAAACACGCTATTGGTGGAGTCCTGTGTCCCTATAGAACGGAACCGATGCCGCAGTTCCCTCCAACAACCCGCGGGAAATTCAAATGCCACTAAACATTGCCTCTCTTCCCTGCTTCCCTGTTGTACGTCGAAACAAAGTTAATAGGCTCAATCAACCAAAATTATATCTCAATGTATATGAATAATCTATTTGTTTGATAAAGTGCACTAGCATAACGAAACACAACATAGCTACCTACTCATATTAACACCATGAAGTAAAACAATCTACTATGTCGACTTACAACAATTCACATGAACGTGTTTAGCAATTTAATTAATACTGTTATGACAAATATATGCACGATAATATTTTGTACTTGTCTATAATAAATAAATGCACAACCGACAAGCCAACAGTGAAGTTTGTTTGAAATTGTATTTCATTAGTACAACGATAACTCGGCCAATTCGCAAACTGTGGAATACTTTGTAATTCCGATAATTTGAGTGTTGCATAACAGGTATAGGTATATTTTTTAGCGGAGTTAGAGTATTTTAGCTGGTTTATTATATTTTGAGTAAATTGGTTTAAGAGACAGTAAACTAACAAATTGGTTAAAAGATTTAAGCAAAAGAGCTTTAGAGGTTTATACACTAGACCAATATAATTTAAAATAATTTTGCATTGGTAATGAATAAACTGAACTGATATTTGATTTCAGAATTTACGAAATTCGCAGTACAGAACAGCATAACTTACACAACTTACTTATGGTGTAAATTTGTAAACAAACTATGTAGCATAGTACGTTTTGGTTTTACGTTCAGTATTAAAAGCCTACCTGTTTTAATGTAAATAAAATAAATATTATGTGTTAGCAAATCTGCATTAACCTCTTTACACCCAAATCTCAATTCCCCATAAAATAAATTAGGATATTTAAACTTGGATACCCTTTAAAAAGTTGTCTAGCCAAGAGTAACTGCAAAGAAATATTAAACTTTACCAAAGTGAATCACAAAGAATTCAGTACGTTTTTCTTAATTTTTAAGATGCAGTACCTTGATATCAAATGTAATTCAACGATAAAAATGGTGTCAGCCAGACGTGTTTTCTTGCTGTTAAAATTATTTGGTTTATTTTGTTATACCAAATAGCTTGTACCGTCCTTATGTTTACATCGCAATTGTTATTCATTTACACCTACACCAATTAAATGATTGGGTGTTTGAGTAGTATACGATTCAACTATATCCAAACCCCATAGTCGTTCAAAGAAAGGAACTACTGTAGTTCCTTCATAATTTTGTACTGTACCATTCATTGTACCTTTCAAATATGACACAGGTAGTAAAACTTAAGGCGCAAACTTAGAATGATTTTTCAACCTTCACTCTCCTAGCAGACCGAATGACAGGTCTAACAAATCATGTGACCTTGACATGGGAGCCCCCCCCCCTCCACTATCTGAACAGCAACCTTCGATGCCGTGGACGACTCGGTGCCGAAATCATTCCGCCGCAAAGGAATTGGAAGTTCGCCGCTCGGTCTGCGATACCGCGTTTCTCGGTATTTTTGTTATAGTTTTCCAATTTTGAAATTTTGTAGCTTCACTGGTTGAATAATATCTTAAAGTGCGGTAAAATGCTAACTTCACTAGATAGTTGTTAGTCTCACAGTATTGAAGCGATAAAAAAACGCATTCCATTAGATTACTATTTCCGTTTCGTATTCACTGCGTGTGATGGATTGTACGATGTACGATAATTTGCAATCTTCGCGTTTTTACATCGATGCCGAAACGTGTGCGCAAATGAATCCAATTCACACTTCGCACATTTTAGCGCGCGCACGAGTCAGGAGCTGATAAGAGACGTCTTTACATCGCTTATCAATCCAGCCACACGTTTTTATCCGCGCAACACAGACACCACACAAAACACGTGGAGGAAGGTGCTATAACAACTAAACTAAATCGAATGCAATAACCATTTTTGACCGCAAACCTACGCTAGTACGAATCAGTATAATATTGTTTCTAGTCGTGATAATATTAATGAATTTCTTCGTCGTGAGATAACTACAATTACGTAAACGAATCAATCTCAATTCACAAACTTGACAACCGATGACAGCTCACAAGACAACATTGGTAAGGCGGGAAGCGAGTGATACAGACAAAGCAACATACCTGTGGTCCATGGGGATGCTGCGAGGCCGTGGAGACAGAGAACAAAGCTGTGAAGTCAGTGGGAGGAATGTGATGTAGAAGGCTGTGGCGGTGGTTGGGGCGCGCGGGACGGCATCGCCACGTGTAGTGGAGGGGTACCGGGGTCAATATACCCCGTGGTCTGTCTACAGTCACACCCCGCCTGCCACCACACAGCTGGCATGACACTATCAGCTGATAGAGCACGTGAAACTTTGCAAGGGATGATTTTTCAAGAAACAGTGCCACCACACAGAGATAGATCACGTGACCGAAACTTTGCAAGAGATAATTTTTGGCAATGCGTGTTTTTTGTGTAAAATAAATGCATTCACAACTTATTAACTGAAAAATCAGTCGACATTAGTTTCCAAGAACCGGCAACGTTCACTTTTTAAGGTTTTATGAAAATGTTGTGATGTGAATATACTTAAGTCTACCGGTATTTCTGTCCGCAAATGCCTGTTGACTATTGCAGGTACCTTTTTGCTAGAATGCTTCGGATTCCCAACAAGGGTGGACGATAACCCAAATTAAGGTCAATCATGCCGTGTCAGAGAAAACTTATTTGAAGTTGCATTTGTTAAGCGTTGACTTTCATTGGTAATGGAATCTTGTATTGTTTATTTACTCTGTAGTGGAAAAACTAAATAAAATTAAGAAATAATGATTTCCTGATTTAGATATTTTGCTATCCAAAATTGTCAGGTAACATTGCAAATTTCTCAAATTCCCTCTTTCGTTGAAGATTCCAATCAAATACGCCTATTCCGTTTAATTCTGCTCCAAGAAATAGATTTAAAATGTCAATGGATTTGTAATTGCTGAACAAGTAAGTTTAATACAGTAGTTTCATTAGAAACCTGGAAATGCACTTTACTTGCTGTAACAGTACTATACTGTAAACAATGTGGTGATTTTCAATGCCATCTAAATATCACTTAACCTCTTCCAGAGTCAAGTCGTGACGAGATTGTGTCGGCAATGGCAGTGGCAGTGATTAGTGATTACTGTAGCACTGCTGCCACAGCCACCTGTAAATTGCACGATAAACTGCACCACTTTCACCACTTACAACCTCTTTGTCGGTATAATTAGGAACAATCAACCCTTTATTTGGATTGGATTTTATTAATTTATTAAACTGTGTTTTAAGACTAAAAACAGTGTTGATTAGAATTAAAAGGCCAGTCTCAATGCATAAAATGGAGACCCTTTGTCAGTTTAAAGACGAAAAATTGATTTTTTTTTTTTTAATTAAATCACGAAACGGAGGCTTTTACTACACGGCAAATAGTTCTTTATGAAAATACAAAATATTGATAACCATAAATATGAAAGAACATGTAAGGCGACCAATATTACGAATGGTCTGTTACTGTAATTGAAATCTTACCAAATGTTCAAGCTTTCATCCGACAGACCTGGTTTCAAGCCTGAGGAATTGGCTGATTAGAGTTAATATTTGTTTGGTGAAAATGAAAGTTAAGTATACAATCAGTCAAGTGATATTTAGCACACCATTGTGTAGAGCTGTAACCGCTGTAACGACAATTAGAATATTCAGTTGCATTGTTTTTGTTTATTATTTTTGTTTTGGTGGCATACAACTCCACAACCTTTAGGAGTAATGATTGCAGTTTGCTTTAAAAACAATTTCTTTCTTAACTGTCACTCTCGCTGTAAAAGAAAAAGCTCACGAAGTTTACCAAAAAACTACCTGCGTCCACAGGATTAGCTTTGAACATCATAGCCTTAGCGGCTCCAAAAGAGGAGACTTAAACAGAATATATGCTCATTTTGGGAATATTGAACATGCGAAGTGGGCTGAAACAACCCTCGTCAACTATTTCGTTATGTGTCAATTCACAAACACTGATACTTTTTTCCTACAAAAACCTCCAATAAGAAACCCCAAATTACGAAAAAACTCTACTATCAAAAAATCCTGTCTACAAAACTCCACCCTGAGCTATTAAAAGGATTACGTTACCACACAAAATTGGCGAAAAGTGTTTACTACATCTCCAAAGAGAAACCTCAAATTACGAAACAACCGTCAAAAAACCTCCAAACGGCCCAACAAAAATCGACCCCCAGCTGTTCACGGGGGTCGCGTTATCACAAACATCTATTTTTAGTACCGCCGGGTCAGTATAAATTACCTGGAAATATCCGAACGATTTAGGGGTGGCTAATGAGGGGGACGGGTAAATAAACAAAGTCGGTGGAGGGAAGAGGGTTCAAGGTCGCCAGAGTACAGGTGCCTAGGTCGGTGACCCGGGGTTCCTTCACCCCTACGGTCGTCCACCTGCCATTGTTCAGGGTGGGAAAGTATTCGGAACCCTCCGTAGCTCAGTTCCGCCCTCGTCTCGATTTAGCCTCCCCGGCACCAAATATAAACGCCCCCGCCTCCGCCGAGATAGCTGCTGACATTCAACTCGTGGCAACGGGGTTGGGTATTTCTGTAATGTTTTGATGTGGCCAATCAACCTGATACACTTTAAGTTTTTAAAAGTATGTACTTCATGAATTGGTTTGCGTATCTTGAACACGTCATCAGCTTACAGAAATTTGAATTCGTAACGGAAACCTCACACCATAAAAAAAAGACTCACGAAATTTCATAATCGGTCTTAATTGGATTCCTTCGTGAACAGCATTCCTTCGATAGTTTCAAACAAAGCTGATTAAAAGAAACTACTTAAAAATTTTAATTCGCACATCAAATTGTCTTCAGCTGCCAGGGATTTTAACAGGTAATTTATTTTAACAGTGTTAGCCATAGTAGGACCTCACCCTGAGA